ATGGGCGGTGCTGATTCCTTAACATCAGGTGATATTCTGTCTAGTCGTTTTCCACCTTATGCTACAGTACTTGTAACACACATATTATCTATACTAATATTATATCATCATCGTCTTCCTGCCCTTGTCCCGTTTTATTTGGGGTCGGCGCAATACTAATATTATAAAGAGGTAAAATTTATAATTCGTTAGTTTGTATGTAATCCTTGAGACTGCAGGTCGGATTTCCAAAATAATGTTCCTGAGTGCTATAGGCTATAAAACATTACGATACGGTTGAATGGAACCCAGCAACGAGTGAAAGCGCGCGAGAGTAGCTAGGAGTAGTAGCTTAATATCATTATTATCATAATAAAATTGAAATAACTAACCACTTCACCATAATTTTCTGAATGCGTCTTTAAGTTGGCATATGGCAAGATCATGTATTGTCCATAAGAGTGAAATGAAAAATAATATTCCAAATGAAGGCCCTTTGATTGTATAAAGTCTGCCATCGCTTGAGTCTCCAACTCAGAAAAAGCTTTTGATCCACAAAATGTTGGTGAATTCGGCGCCGAACTTACTCCGACCGCTAATAATAAAATACACGAATAAATATGCAATCTACATATTTTCACAGACACAACATTAGCCTTTAAGTGTACATATACATTGCTGAGCAAAGGACTCTTCTTATATGGAGATGGTTTGACCATTAATTATACGAGTAATAAATTACTCAAGGCGGATTGATGATTTCTAACTTATAATTAGAAATAAGTATGTATAAGTTCAGGTTAATTCCTTAAGATCTTTTCTTTTACCATTTCAGTGATCTATATGGTTATTCAGTTTTATTTTGTTTGTCTTTATCTTATCATGACGTGTTACATATTTTACAAAGGGATAACCAATTTGGACGATTTATCGTGACTGGACATCGTGCTGCTATGTTATTCACTAGTCGGTCTTCTCATCACTGCACTTACTATAACCATATTACATTATGTATAATTAACGATTAACAAATAAAAATGTACTTACTGCCAAAAGCATGATCAAAATTTCGGTTTAGGTCGACAGAACCACGCGCGTTTCGATTTTTCCTCCACAATCGATCCTGAAACGTCCACTATAAGTTTAGAACCCTATTTAAATAATTATAACTACGCTTAGAAATTTTAAGTCCAGGCTTCCTGACCATGTTTTTCTTGACCTTCATAAGTTCATCAAGATACCACAGACTGTGGTGTCTGAATACAAATAATTAAAAATAAAAACAAAGATAAATAATAATAATAAAACTTCAAGTAGTGGTCTAGCGTTGACTGACAGTGACGACCCTTATGAAGCTAATGAAGCTATAGTATTACTAACTGCGCAGCTTATAAAAATAATGTAGGTGGTGTTCATTTTTTGTTTGCTCAAGTTATAAAAGATAACTTCTGAAACGTCACACTGCTATCTAGTAAGTTGAATATTGCAGGTAAAAGCGTAGGGCAGTTTAATCAGAGAGTTTGTTTTTCTGCTCCTTCTTAAATGTTATGTGGTCCTTTCATCGGCTTTACCATGAAAACAGTAGAGATACTTAGATATAAATCAATTTTAACCTGCCGTCTCCAAACGTCCAAGAATAAAAGAGAAACTTACATGCGTGTGACTGTATTCATAACCATCAGCATTCAATACGGGTACAAAGTACCATTCATAGGTCAAAGCGATGTTTTTAAGAATCGGGTCGTTTGATACTGGAGCATGAATAATTTTGTTAATGAAGTATGTTACGAAGGCTGGTGAAATCCATTCTCTAGCGTGAATACCACCTTCCACGATAACTTTAGATCTGGAATTGCAGAAAAAGATCATGTTGAAGACCTAAGCAGACAAGCATATAGCAGGTTTGGTGTGACCAAAGCAGTGTTTGGATTACCGAATCTATGCTTTCGGAGTAAAGTCTGGATCTTTGCTGGAGCTTTGCTTCGGCAAGAATGGGTCGGCTTGACCGGAGTTATCCCACGGCCTCACAGAAAACCATTACAGTGTTACATAAACAATTACAGCGTTGTGTTTCGGCGTTTGAGTGAGTTTACCGGACGCTCAATCCTTACCCTCCCCCGATCCCTCCTCAATCCCTAAATCATCAAATCATCAGTCCCCAAAAGGTCGGAAACACACTCCTTACTGCTCTTTTGTGGCGGGTGTCTATAAGTGGCGCTGATAGCTTACCATCAGGTAATCCACATGCTCGTTTGCCGACTTGTGTTACATAAAAAAAAAGTGTCATTCCCTTTCACGTTTCGCAGTAGACTTACAATTGAATGATTAGTTGATGAATGCCACAGAAAGAATAAAACTAATCATTACCTAATCGTACTGTGCTTTAATAAGATCTTCACAGCAAGGATTTCTCTGCGCTCATGCGTCGTCCCTATAGAAATGATTTCCATCTCTTCAGGGAAATTCTTTGCCATATCCCGAAGCCATTGGTAAATGTCATCTAATCGAAAATAACTATTCCAATCAAAAGATTCCATTTGTCTTCTGATGTACGTTTTGACCGTCTGCTTATCAAATGCTCTGAAAAGTATTAAAATATTATTTTACCGTTTTGCTCCTCTCAGTGATGTTGTAGGGAGATCATTGTTTAGAATACAAACAAATGGAAAATATTCAAATGACTTTTCTCATCCTTATGGTTGAGAGGGAGTGTCAGCGTATTTCTGACTAATAACAGCCCAACCCTTCTCCAGCCTCGGGCCGAGGTAGTGCATTCTAGCGCTTGCACCTATAAACCCGACTGGTAACGGGCCCTAGCCCTAGCCCACCCCATCTGTAGTATAGTGTTCACATGGATCTTTTAGGCGCATGCGGAGCAGTTTAATCGTTGAGGCATATAAGCGAATTAGCTAGGCAATGACACCGCACGGCACACGGTTCTCATGAATAAGAGTGTTGTTGTGATTTAAAACTGGAATAAACTTTGGCCATATGGCTCACAGGATTGTTGGTAAGACGAGATTTTTTTAATTTTAGATTTTTAATAATTTATTTTTATGCGTGGCTTGCAAATCTTATACATATATATTACATAATTTGGTTCAGCCAGTTTTACTAGTTGTAAAAATTAAATAAATTTTTATTGATTCTATTGACTTTATTATTTTCATTTTTACATTATTTGTTGAATGGATCCCAAATTTTCTCCTCGCTTTTTTTATAACACTAACAAGCATTGTTTTAATATAAGAGACAATAAGACTCACTGTTGAACATCCTCTTTTATTGTTGTTATGTACAGCCCAAGATTGTCAGCATCTTTCTGAAACTTTTCTTTATATTCAGGATCAACAATGAAGTCCGCAGGCTTGAACAATTGTCCTGGAGATCTCCAAAAATTCACATAGTCGACTGTTGTGAGGTTTTTAAAAAACTCTAAATGAACATTCTCAACCGGTATACCCCTGAACAATGTGTAATTATAATACTTTTTACAGTCATAAAAATTTATCGAACTAAAATAAATAAAAAAATAAATTAAATTGATATTCATTTTCGTTGATTTCTCTCATAAATTCGTTTGCACGTTCATAATGTTATAATAATTATATCTTCACAACCTTTGAGATTTCAGATTTCACATTTTACTTTACCTAATTTGACAGTTTGCAAACTGTCATTATGACAATTTTAGACTTGAATTCGGGTAAGAAGTCTTGTCGGAAGAGGTTCATAATACATAATATTATGTATTTTATTATCAGATATTATGTGCATTGAACCCTTGCGATTTCAGAGCAGGATCATACAAGTGGAAAATAAGCAAATTACTTTTCTCATGCTTATTGGGTTCAGAGGGAGAGTCAGACTACTACTGACTAATAACAGCCCCTCCCTTCTCCAGCTTAGGGCCGACGCGGTACATTCTAGCGCTTGACCCGCAACCCCGGCTGAACATTAGCCCTCTTGGGCCCCGTATATGTTGGTCTATTAACTGTTTGAGAAGCGCACGGAACCCTACGCGCCTTACGCTCGGCTTCGGTTCTGATAGAGCGGCGAGCTACCTTTGGTCCCCATTCATAGACCCGCATTTTCGTTTGCTGGAGTTCGCCTTCGACGCCCGTAGTGTCTTCCACTGCGGCCGACGTGAAGAGAATAGTTCCCACACTCTCTCCGCCTCCTTCTTTGCAAACATCACTTCTACGCTCTTTCTTTACACCATGGCCTGGCATGGCATGGCGGTGCTGAGTTCGTCAAGCAATATTCATACGTTTTCACATTTGACCTTTTCAGAGGTAAAATGAATCTAACCAAACTGTTACAATGCATCACATTTCAACATTGTACTCAAGGAACTTTAATATTATAAATGGGAAAGTTACAATGTTTGGATGTTCGTTACTCAATCACGCCAAAACGGCTGGACGAATCTGGTAGAAATTTGACACAAGCATAGGATCCACTCCGGAATAGGACATAGGCTACTTTTTATCAACATACCACGTGGGTGAAACCGTAAGCGGAAGCTAGTATAGTACTAAAATGAAGTCCATAAATTAGCAGAATGAAACCACACAATCGTATTCAAAGCCTTCGAACAATTAAGTAACCATTACGGTGCTTGGTGCTTAGCCAATAGCCGAGTCAAGGCGTCTTGGTTACCGTAATGTCGGCTACCTGTGTCGTTACCCCAATTCCCCAACTGATTAGTATCCCTTGTTCGTAAATGTTTAGTTTCGTCTTAAGTAATTTAACTTCCTGTATTTTCTTTAAAAATAATAAAGCTACATATCTATAAATTATCAGTTTGTAATATAACGTTCATTGATACCGGTTCATTTTATTGAAGAGTGTAAAATTCCATTCTAATTTAATTTGTTGCTGTAGGAAAAAAATCTAATAGGAAAGTGTAACTAATAAACTTAAATTATGTTGTTTGTGATGTATTTATTATCCTTCATTGTATTTGTGTGAAAAAGCAAAAAAAAAAGAGATTCTTAAAAAACAAAAGAAATAATAATTTATTTTAAAAGTAAACTAAAAAAAATACTGCCAAATAAAATTAAGATAACTGATGTTAGCTTCTGAGCCTTATTGAAAAGATTTAATCTGATTTTTCTGGGTTTGGCGAGCATTAATTCTGTTAGACCGGAGACGGTTTCTTCGCACGTCGGCATGATCTGGCTTGGGGGAAGCGCGAAGCCATAATGCCCATTGTCTCGAAGAAGAAAAGTGAAAACGTACCTGATGACAAAGAGGCAATGAAAGAAAAGAAGTATCAAATAATAGAAGTTCATTTGTGATTTGAATTTCTTAATCAGTATTAATATTGACAGAGTAAACAAAAGCAAAGATCATAAAATTAACTGGTTAAGTCTAGGTGTAGGTAAAATTTTGCGTTAATGCTTAATTGATGCGTGTCAAAAACACGAAAAAAGGTCTTATATGATAAGCCTTGTTACAAAAAAGCCAGAGTATTAATGGTAGAACCGAGTCAAAATTCTCATCCAATAACGTACAATTTCTCCTCTTCCTTCAACAACAATCGGCGACGTCTTGTAATCCGCCTTTTTCCATGTATCTTCTTGACCTCAGGCAGCCTTTGAGGTATGGAGGTACACATATATATATATAAAAGCGATGATTTTTATAAAGGTACTGACAACCTGAACCCTTAACAACTAGGTATAACAAAACTATCGTACAAATCAGTTTCTTCCCAAAATATATTTTCTTTTTGCACCATTCTCTTATATAATATCGAAGCATTTTCCCCAAGCTCAGTATAAAAATCTCCAAAATATAAAACAAAAATATAACATAATCCTTTAATAAAAAACGGATATTACCTAACGCCGAGTGTTTTCTTCACCCAACTGGCACTGTTGCCGGAAATACGTAGTCCTGATACAGGAAAAAACGTGTATTTCAAGTGTATATAAGGAAAAAGTATATAAAATTCATACTTTATAACGATGATAATAAAGGTCATTTTCAAACTCACCCAAAGTGTCATAAGTTGTTCCGATACCGTATTTTGTACCGTACAAATTGTATATGTTCAATATTGCCTGTTTACCGAAATTCTCCTGAAAAATGATAAGTTATATGGTAAACTTATAAATAATTAAAAAAACTAGATAAAATATCTAGAAATTATTGTTAAATTGTATGTTTGTAACCGCACCCACGACACAGGAGAAAATCCTAATGTAAGGCAACGTTTTTCTTAAAAAAAGGAAAGGAAAGAATAATCTGTTTGTCTAAGATGAGACGCAAGGGTTTTTACAAATGAACATAAGTTTTATACAAAATGTGATAAATCTCGACGTGCGGTTGTGGATGGTCGTGTTAACATTTTTAAATAGACCGAGAATTAAAAATTGAAAGAAAAAAGCATGGTCAGGCGTCTTCTGTCTCAAGTTTTGTCAACTCAACCATAACGGGGGCACCGTTACGGTAGGTGCGGTTGCACCAATCCGACCGCCCTAGAACCAGCCCAGGGTACCTATTCTATCGAGAAGGGCCTCAAGAAAAGCCTATCAGTAAATGCGTCATTTTTTATTTATCACAGTCAATATTATTGCACAAAAATTTAAAAGTATTTTTTGATATACAAGAACCCTGAAACTCAACTGCTTCACTGATGACCTTGAGACAATAAGCAATCAAGGGTACATTATTTTTAAAAATAAATTCGTCTAGACAAAGAAATTATCTGATATACGACAACAGTAGTTAAACAACTTAATTTTGCGCCTATCTAAAGTAATAATCTTTTGATAATGGGTTTGATATTAGAAAAGTACTGCTAACTCCGGTTTTACGGGTGCAAGCGCCACAATGTACCGCAGCCCCGGCCCACAGCAGTAGAAAAGACGGGGTGGTTTGAATGACGGTATTAAGACTGACCCAGGCAGGGAAAAGTCATTTGATGGCTTCCCCCATCAAAAGAGATAATGCTAAAGACATCTCAAATTAAAGCCGGCCTTATTTTTATTGATTTCCCAAGTTTCACAAACCAATTTCGGTCTTACCACCACACCACACATTCAGGGTCATTTAATGTTTACAAAGCCAATTCCTTAGCAATCTTTCCAGAACAAATTCCTTACTAAGGAAACGTTCGTGTATTTATTGAGATACGCAAAATTTTAAAATGTTGAGTAACATCAAGAAGTACTCGCATATTGTGGCCTTTGTATATGACTATTATTGATGATGAGTTTAGACATTTATTGCCAATAGCTAATCCTCTCTCCTAATGAATCCAGAAAGCAAAAAAAAAAAACAAATTGTTCACACTAACCATTTCATTGTAATTGTCGATATGATTTATTCTATCCGAAAAAGGTATTATAAACTTTTGTCCATAGGCATGAAAAGAAAAATAAAATCGTAGGTTTTGTTTCCTTTCAGTTATGAAGTCCGCCAGTAGTCTAGATTCTGGTTCGGAAAACGGACGCGGTCCACAATAGTTCTCATCTTTGGGATCCTCGCTTGTGTCAAATTCTAAAAAGATAATAAGAATTGGTAGTGCAAGTAAGTCAGATAGTATGTATGTGACTTAAAACGTTTATGATCCGTCAAATCAAATCAAATCAAATCAAATTCTTTATTTCAAATAGACCAAAAAAGGCACTTTTGAACGTCAAGCAAAAAAGATATCATAAGGTTTAACTTTATGTGTCAGTCTGTCCGTCTGTCCTCTAGTGAAGCTATTTGCTCGTTCCAAAGTGTAGATTCCTATGGAGAAGAACGAGCAAGAAACTCCATGGTTACTCTTTTTCAATCACTTTTTACAATACATTGTTACATAATTTAGATAGCTCCATTATGTGAGAACAGTGTAACACTAGTGTTTAACCAAAGTATCCGAAAAAGAAATAACCCTCAGGGACAGCAACTTTGGACAGTCTCGAGTTGACCAGTCCCAATAGGCGGCGTCCGTTCACGAACATGACACGTACACCAGCACCGCCCAACTCAACCATATTATAGGGAACCGAGCGGTCCAGTGCCCGTGCCACCGCCAATGAGACTCCTGAGTGAGCATGACAACTCCCAACTCACACAAGTACCAATATACTATAAGTCTATAAGTCTATAAGTCTAACTCAATTATAATAAGTTACAGGGCTCTCACATTTACAAAAATCCAGTTTATCAACAATCAACAACATGGTGAATAATTTAATAATTGAGATCAAAATTCCTCTTAACCTTAACAATTTTTATCCTGTGCAGTCAAACCAGCCACCCTCCAAGCATTTTTATCTTCTATATAATCATTTAGTTTGCAGTATGCTTTCCTACATAATACTTTCTTTATACATAATTTAAATTTACTTTCATTAAGATTTTGTATTTCAGTTGGGATTTTATTATAACATTTAACACATAATCCCATGAACGACTTATGCACTTTTGCTAATCTAAATAAAGGCTGACTTAATCTATTTCTATGTCTAGTAAGATAGTCATGCTTGTCAGATACTTTTACAAATAGCTGTAGGTTTTTCCTAACATACATAATGTTTTCATAAATATATTGACATGGTACGGTCATAATGTTGATCTCCTTAAACTTTTCTCTGAGAGATTCGCGACGACCTAAGTTATAGATAGCTCTGACTGCACGCTTTTGTAAGATAAAGATAGACTCAACGTCGGATGCCTGTCCCCACAACAGAATTCCATACGACATGATGCTGTGAAAGTAGCTAAAGTACACTAGTCGTGCCGTGCCTACGTCGGTTAGCTGACGGATCTTCCAGACAGCATAAGCTGCCGAGCTCAACCGCCCTGCTAGAGATCTAATGTGGGGCCCCCATTGCAGCTTGTCGTCTACAGTAATCCCCAAGAATGTGGTCTCCTTTACAAATTCCAGTTTCTGACCATTTAATAATATATCATCGCATACGTTACTTTTAACATTTGGCAAAATAAATCTAATGCATTTCGTCTTTTTATCATTAAGTACTAAGTTGTTTTTTGTGAACCAATTATGAACTTTCGTTAAGGCATTATTCACTTCGTCATAGTTATTTGATCGTCTATTTAATTTAAAAATCAAGGATGTGTCATCAGCGAATAATACCATATGCGGTTCACTTTGGAATAAATGGGGCAGGTCATTGACATAAACCAAAAATAGGAATGGACCCAATATTGAGCCCTGCGGTACGCCCATAGATACGCTAGCACCCTGGGAGTTTACTCTGTTTACTTGTACTGTAAGAAGTCTTTCTAGAAGGTATGATTTTAATAAATTTAGGGATACCCCCCGAATGCCGTAGTGTTGCAGCTTCAGTAATAGCGTTTCGTGCTCAACACAGTCAAAAGCCTTCGAAAGATCGCAAAATATTCCGATGGCATCCTGTGCTTTTTCCCACGATTTGAAAACTTGTTTTATAAGCGATACTCCTGCGTCCGTAGTGCAACGTCCCTTAGTGAACCCGTATTGTTGGTCATGGAAAATAGAATTCGCGTTAAAGTGACGCAGTATTTGAGTAAGTATCAACTTTTCAAACACTTTACTGAGCACTGGCAAAATAGAGACCGGCCTATAGTTATTGCGTTCTGTGCTATCACCTGATTTAAGTAATGGAACTACTTTACTATGTTTCATTAAATCCGGGAAAACCCCTTGATCTACACTTTTATTAAAAATTAAAGTTAAGTAAGGCGCTATAGTCTCTATAAAAGACCTGCACACTCTAACAGACATTCCCCAGAGATCTTCACTGGACTTTACTTTGATATCTTTAAACGCCTTTATTACTTCCTGGGGGTTTGTATGTTTAAACCTAAAGTCCGCAGGACATTCTTTGACGTTACTTCTGAGAAGCTCGACCGCAAGTGCTGGAGATGATTGCAACGTTTCCGTAGTTTTGATGGGAATATTTTTAAAGAAATTTTCGAATTCCTGGGCAACTAATGAATTTGTACTAGTAAATCCCTTTTCGGTTTTTAAATTAAATTCTGTCTTATTAGATTTGTTTCTACCTGTTTCATTATTAATTATACTCCAGGTAGCTTTTATTTTATTTTCCGCGGTCCGGATTTTACTGCTAATATAGAGTGATTTAGCATGCTTACAAACTAATTTAAATATTTTTGAATATTTGGAGACATGCCTACGAAAAGCCTCACTTTTATTAAATGGTTTCATGCCATATAGCTCAAATAACTTTTCTCTACTTATACGAATGCCTGGTGTAGCCCAGTCACAGAATAAAAATTTACACTGGATATTTTTACGTTTTAAAGGGAACATTTTGTCGAACTGTATTTTTATGATTGATAATAAGTTAGCATAGATCTCACTCGGGCATTCATTGTTTTGTAATGGGCTGCATAATTTATGTTTTAAATTTTTATTTAATGACTCAATTTTTTTGTTTGTTATCTGTCTGAATATAATTTCCTTAGTTGCCACAGTTTTAAAAGTATTAAAGTTGACTGTTAGCCCACTGTGATCAGATGGTAATCTGTTTACAATTTCATTATGTAAATAATCACAGTTACAAAAAATATTATCTATACAAGTTGCCGAGGTGGATGTTACTCGGGTAGGCTCAAGGAATATATTAGACAGATCAAAAGATTTAAAAAGACCTAATAAGTTTGTACAATAAGAGTTGTTTTCTAAGAGATCAACATTAAAATCGCCACATACTATTGTATACTTATTACTAGAACACGTTTTCTGTAATACATCTTCCATTACTGAGCAAAATATATTTAAATTCTGTATGTTAGGAGGCCTATAAACACATACTACAATATGCCTATCCAGTTCAACACAGGACAACTCTATTGAGTGCTCAATTGATAGCAGTGCAATGTCTTGCCTTTCTTTATATTTTATTGAATTCTTTACTAAAATCAAGCTACCACCATGTATCATTTCTTTGCGGCTATAATAGTTGCCAACACAATAATTATTGAAGTTAATTGATTCTACTTGATAATCTTTTAACCAATGTTCAGTTATACAAATAATGTCATATTGGAACTTTTCTAAAAACAATTCAATTTGTAGGATTTTTGATGCTAAGCCCTGAACATTTTGACTATACAATGACAACAGGTTATCTGTTTTATTTTTCAATTTAAGTTTATGCTTAACAATATTGCCAGAAGAAACCTTTTTAATGATTGGGGTTTTTGAGTAATTTAATTGGTTATCTTCTGTTGTCGTGGAAGTCAGTTTAAAAGATTACTATCCGGAGTACTATCCATATTTATAACTAAATGTGGAGCCTCCTTCGTGCTATTATATGTACAATTAATCTCTATATTGTTAGATTGTCTAATCAATATAGATTTGTCACTAAAACTACTTATTAATAAATTAATACTATTTGCTAGCAAACTAGCAATTAATAATTTACATTTCCTGGGAATATACATATAATCCCGGGTCAACTTGAAACCACTAACAAATTTGTTAGTGTCAAAAAATGATAATTTGTCACTATGACAGCAGGTCAGAAAAAATATTAAATTGTTTAGATTATGAATTTTACTATTTTGCATTTTTGACAGAGTGTCAGCATATGGAAATGCACATAATACTATCTTCCCTGTATTTAATTTCAATAAGGTGTTGATACCATCACTTATATCCCGCTTGTTTATCCCTGTACTATCACCCATTAATATTACTATTGGCTGATTTTCTGCTAATTGTTTCTGTGATATTTTTTCTATCATATGGCCAAATTTTATATTGTGATAACAGTAATTTGTTACCCTGTATTTAAGACAATTAGCGATAAGTGACCCAAAACCTGCACCCACTGAGTCTGTAAACACACCAGCGTTGTAGGTAACAACTGGTTGACTCCCTGTTTGTGGCCCCGGCACAAGTTCTGGCTCAAAGGGTGAAGTGAGGGCACAGCTACATGAAAGGTTATTTGCAAGAGACTCATATCTCTCAGCACTAAAAGTAACTAAATCCACAAGTTTTCCTGCCTCAATCATGTGTTTGTTGAGTTGTGATTGGGCAGATTCATATTTTTGGAACATATCATTTAAGAACATTTCACGTTGTAAAAGTTCTTGTTGAAGAGCCTGAATGTCTTTGTCATATATGACCCTACATTGTTCTAAATCACTTTTGCATGATTTAAGTTCCTGAGTTACATTTAATTTTTGTTTTCTTAAATAGACATTCGTTTTAGACAGATTTTGCTTCTTTTTGAGTTTTTTAATTGTTTTATTTAGTTTTATATATTTTTTTATTTTATTGTGGCTTTTATGGTCTTTATCATCATCATTAAACACGTAGTTTAATTCAAATTCAAATTCTTTGTTAGTGCCAATCGGATAACTCTGCTTTTTTTGCGAATTTTAACATTTAAAATATGTTAGAAAAAAAAGACACACAAATCAGTACTCTCTCCATTGCGTGCTGGATGACTTTAAGTCTCTCTATAATACCAAATCTATTTATATACTCACTTCCAAAATTATAATCAAAATTCCTATTAAGATCCACCCCTATAGCAT